TCTATTATATTGTACTACATTTTATATGGAGATGTACTTTAGTATATTAGTCTGTATTATATTGATGTACTGTATGCTATGGAATGTTTTCTATTATATTGTACTACATTTTATATGGAGATGTACTTTATTGTATTAGTCTGTATTATATTGATGTAGTGTATGCTGTGGAATGTTATTTATTACATGGTACTACTTTGTATATGGAGATGTACTTTATTATATTAGTCTGTATTATATTCTATGGAATGTTATTTATTATATGGTACTACATTGTATATGGAGATGTACTTTATTATATAAGTCTGTATTATATTGATGTAGTGTATGCTATGAAATGTTATTTATTCTATGGTACTACATTGTATGTGGAGATGTACTTTAGTATATTAGTCTGTATTATATTGATGTTCTGTATGCTACGGAATGTTATCTATTATATGGTACTACATTTTATATAGAGATGTACTTTAGTATATTAGTCTGTATTATATTGATGTACTGTATGCTATGGAATGTTTTCTATTATATTGTACTACATTGTATATGGAAATGTACTTTATGATATTGTATGATATGGAGATTTACTTTATCATATTAGTCTGTATTATATTAATGTACTGTATGCAATGAAATGTTATCTATTATATGGTACTACATTTTATATAGAGATGTACTTTAGTATATTAGTCTGTATTATATTGATGTACTGTATGCTATGGAATGTTATTTATTATATGGTACTACATTGTATATGGAGATGTACTTTACTATTATATTAGTCTGTATTATATTCTATGAAATGTTATTTATTATATGGTACTACATTGTAGATGGAGATGTACTTTATTATATTAGTCTATATTATATTGATGTACTGTATGCTATGAAATGTTATTTATTCTATGGTACTACATTGTATATGGAGATGTACTTTATTATGATAGTCTATATTATATTGATGTACTGTACGCTATGGAATGTTATCTAGTATATTGTACTACATGGTATACGTGGATGTACTTTATTATGTTAGTCTATATTATATTGATGTACTGTATGCTGTGGAATGTTATCTATTATCTTGTACTACATTGTATATGGAGCTGTACTTTACTATTATATTAGTCTGCATTATATTGATGTACTGTATGCTATTAAATGTTATCTATTATATGGTACTACATTGTATATGGAGATGTACTTTATTATATTAGTCTGTATTATTTTGAATTGTATTGTACTCTTACATACGTCTGTGTACTTGTATACTACGGTTCTCTATCAAACTGATATGTACTTTTAGCATACGGTACTGCATCATACGGAGAAATGGTATTCTAACAAACTGGTATGTTATTAAATTATATTGTATTAAATTATACGGAGACTAATTTTAAGACTCGTTTTATTATTTATTATAAAATGAAGGAGACAATATAGCAATGATATGAATTGGCTTTATTGGCATTCATTAAGAGTTTGTACAAACTGTCATATTATCTTAGAAACAGTATTCATATGTCATTTTGAGCCTATTCATGTTTTGAATGCTAAAATGAAATGTCAAAATTCCATTTCATAGGAAAACACAGATTTTAAATCAGATACGATTGTCGATAAAAAGACTTAACCTTTCATCTTAGATTAAGCACATCTCTTTGACATGACGCAGGATGAACAGTTCTTTGTCCGAAAACTTACTTTAATATTGAGGATATGAACTAGGCTGCATTATTTTTGGCCATCGACTTACGACTTACATATGTCGACATAATTATCAAAAGTTGAGATGTTATATTGACACAACCACATACTACATGGTATTTAGTCTTAACGTATAAATAATGTCGACATATATAATTCACTTCGCGAGAGTTTTGTCGAGGTGATTATCACGTTTGTAGGTAACTCCGAGAATATGACAAGTTGACGATCATGGGGTTGAACTGAGTCAATACACGACATAACAATGGAATGAATAAAAAACATACTAAAGCTGGCAAAATACATTAAAATATAATGGACCAAATATAAAATCATAAACCATTAACAATACAAATTAATGTAGACAAAGTAATAAACGTACAACCTAACTGTTCTCTTATAATCTCAAACGCCTTTAAATGCACAGCTAACCGGATTTAGAGTTTCTTTGAAGTTGAAGAGCATTACGGATGCCATATTTCTTTCACTAAATGGACAGAAGTTTTCCATTTAAACGTGGATTCCTATCGATTCTCGGTAATTTCCAAGCCTTGATTTCATGATTTCCACGTCGTTACAGAACCCGACAACGATATCAGTTTATATTAAAGTAAAATAACACAGCGAGAAAACAGCCCCATCACAATCAATACCACCTATATTCCAGACAAATTGTACCACACATTTTTATTTTAGATACACTCAGCTTTTAATATTAAGGATAACATGTACATATTCAGTCGCATATGGTTAGGACTAAGTAAACAAATAGTATTCGAAACAGAATAACGATTATACAAGACTTAATGAAACCTATCAGGCATGGTTTGACAATCTTACTCCTACATACTGCCTTAACTGTGTTATGACGCAATATTGATTAATTCTGAAACATCAGAATGCAAAGGCATTACAGGATTCCGTTTAAAAAATATAAGACACTAATGCATTTGAGAATATATATCAGAACACTTAAGTGAAAAAATTGCACGAAATGATATAGTTCACTCGAGTCTTAAATTTATCCATAAATACAATGCACTCGTGCAGCCTGGGCCGTTGCATACCGTGTTATGCAGTTTCATAAAGCCATCACATGCATAGAGGATCTGTCATAAGTTGCCATTCATATTAAATTCATGATGCACGTTTTGGATCTCGCCAGAGGCTCGCAAACATGAAAAATCCAAAACGAGTATCATACATCTAATATGAAGGGAAACGAATGACAGATTCTTTTTATCATATAATACAAAGAATGAATAATTGTGATCTGAAACGAATATTTTGCACTTGTCCGCCTCTGAAAACATGAAAATTGCGTCCGCTAAAGCGGCTTCACAACGACGTGACGTCACATTGATTGTTCCTATTCGATTGTGACGTCATTTCCGGAGTGGTATAACATACGTTACTTAAGGAATGATTTTTATTTTTTCAACATTTATGAGGTCATAACAACAATGGGTTTATAGACATATTGAATGAATCGCGTTAGCGATTCATGTAAAATATGTCCAAAAACCCATTGTTGTTATGACCTCATAAATGTTGAAAAAATAAATATCATTCCTTATATTTACATTGACGAATCCTTTCAGTGGATCGATATAACAACGAATAAAACAAATAAACAGGGTTTGTTCCTGCTTATACACGGGTGCAACGCAGTGGCGAGAACAGTGTTTTTTCGCGGGGAAATGTGACACTATCGTGAGAGATCTTAGCAACCGTCAACAACAATAACACAACAAAATGTAGTTCCATATTCAATGTTTATTTGTAGCACAGGACACGTGAATACGTGGATATTTCACAAAGCACAGTTCAATAATATTTTAAGATGCAAGAATTTAGCATCTAGGTCGGTCGTTACGAGTGAGTAGTTTTTGTAGTGTATTACTACGCAGTGTGATCAGGTTACTATCAGTTCCCACGTGCTGAGATTCTATGAACACCTGTGTTATGCATTTATGAATGCAATTTTTGTCAATGGGTCTAAGCATACAGAATGTAAATATATAAACATAGTTATTGTGAAGCGGGCGCAATTTTCATATTTCAGAGGCGGCCAAGTGCAAAATATTCGTTTCTGATCACAATTATATAGTTAAAATCCAAAACTTGTATCACAAATCTAATATAAAGGGAAACTTATGACAGATCCTCTATATATGTTGTATTATCTATACACCACCTCTGTGATATTAACTTTTCTGACATGCTTTAAACGTCATAGTAAAATCAATGGTTCCCCAACTCCTCTTCGTTCACTTTCACAGTCAGAGTTAAAAATAATATAAACTGGGATCAGTAAGATAAATAGGATAAGCAAACACAGCACACGCAAAGAAATAATTTCTCAAAAAGTAAATGGGAATCTGCATATTTTTAACATGTCCATCATATTCACAAATCTTAACATAAACTGCATAATTTTATCAACAAACCTACGAAATATGACATACTATTTTATGATATAAAAAGGATATCATTATATGATTGTATAATGTATTGTATTTAACTTCATTTGATATATGCTTGTTGTATATGCATGAAAACTATACCGATTTCATCATTTTCCTCCAGGTGATAGCATGTGTTTAAGCAATACGGGATATAAGAGGCATTTTGATAAGTCATATGCATGCAAAAAGGTGATTCATTTAGACCCTTTTCTGTAAGTCGTGCGTCACTTTATTTAACAAGTCCTTAAGCAGAACAAAATGCTGCTTTGCTGAACGTTTTTATGTATCACTATACTGTTGTAGTTACTTGCCTGATTACTTACACCATTCCTATCAATATAGATTTCTCGTTTGAAGGAAATGGTGCTGACTTAGAGCCCCGTCGATTTAAAGGAAACTTGGTCGGTGATTGGCCGTCACATTGCAGCTTTACTTACTATGTGGGCGTTCATAGCGAGTGTACGGGCTGGACGAAGGGGATCGAAACATCTTCACCCAAGTCGGAGAAGTTTCTTGTTCTGTTTTGACCATGTGTAAATCCTGCTTATTGAAACTCGAGTGACCATTTGCTCCAGACAAATGACCGTTCATAAAACCACCATTTTCATATACATTTCTTCGTTGTCGAGGTCTTCGTTTACGGTTATCAAGTTTTCTTCTGAAGCACACGGCTATAATCACGATGGCGAGTACCAAGAAGAGTACTGCTGGACCAACAGAAGCTGCTATTGCTATTCCTATCTTCTCACTCCTGGTATATCCTATGTAGATAAAACACAGGTATGATGATTTAATGTACGCAGGGTTTATAACCATCACAGGAAAAACAAAATGTTACAGTTTAACATTGTAACGTGGTTACTTGGTTGTGTGTATTACCTTCGTAACGAACGACTTGTGATGGTATGAGTTTCATTCGCGAACACCTGTGATTGCAGGAGTACTCTTGATGTTCCTGTATGGTGATGTCAGTTCATATTTTTTTTTTCATATGTTAGCCGTGCTTAGAAGTGTTTGAGGTGTAGATGGTATTGCTATGTACTTGCTTGGAGATACAGTTGATGTAGCTAAATCATTATTAACTTTGTTGTTACTTGGATTTGGAGGTGGTACTGCTTTATCATATTGTTGTTTGGAGTTAGAATTGATGCCTCTACACCTAGCACGTGGTGTTGTAGGTGATGTCACAAGGACTGGTGTTTAAAAATGCGATGATAAATTCATTACTTACTTGGTTGTTCAGGGCCAAGCAAGTAGCTGATTACAAATCCTCTGTTGTTATCGTCAATATTTGTATCGAATTCAATACCGTAGCTCCTGTAACGATACTCTATTTCCGTGGTGGAAACCTGGTCACTGCATAAATTAATCGCACTGGCACCTTCTCCTGAAATACAACAAAACATAGTGATGTGCATTGCAAAATATTCCAATTCCTACTCAAGTTGGACTCAATGCAACATTTGCCTGTGCGTATGATTTTGCGAAGGGAGATAACTATTGACGATACCACTTGATGAGATTTTACATTTTTTATTGAAGCAACACAAGAAATTGTACAAACAACCAAAAACGATCAATCAGCAAACATTATTAGCTCACAGTTACTAACGGTAGTGACAAGTCATGTACTGCCCTAGAAATTCTCCCTCCAGCTACCTATTCTGCCTTGTGCAACCCCCGGTACAAATATAGAAAACAACGTAGATCCACAGGGGTTCGTTACAAATGTCTGAAATACACATATCATGCTATAACTGATATGGATTACAGCACACATAAACATACATATAAGTGTATGTTTATGTGTGCTGTGACCCATATCAGTATAGCATATGTGCACAAATGTATGTTTATTTGTGTGTAACCCATATCTGATGAGTATAACGAACCCCTGTGGTAGATGCATATGGTCCCGTCTTATATGAAATACAGTCGAATAGCCAAATGTCATATCAAATGTTTCGTCCTTTCAAACCACATTTAGTTTCCTGTATAATTCGACATCCAATTACTGCAGTTTCACATTCCAGAAGATGAAGAACCTCGAAATTTAGCGACTCTCCACTTTGAGATAGTAAAAAGATGGCTGCCGTAGACTCGCAGCTGAGCCTGTGCACCGCGTTTAGATATTATTCTTCCGCGATGACGCATCAGAAAATTTAATATCTTATGTCAATATTTAGATATCTTATAAATTTATCAACAAAAATTAAGTATGACATTTAAAATATGGTTTTGTGTTTTTTTTCTACATAATTTTATGCGTATTAACGTACACCACCATGTTGTATGATGGTCTTTCAATGACGGACCAAATTTTGTTTTACATTACGTAAACGTAGACTAGCACAAGCTCCAGAACCTGGGACAAAGTTCCAATTATTGTAAAAAAAAACACACACGTTGATTGAAATAGGATTGAATCTTGCTTTGGTCGATTTCATGAGGTGATGAATTGAGTTGGTCTTGACCAAAAAAAACATGAACTGCTTTGCAGTTCATTAAATTTGTTTCAAGACCAACTCAATTCATCACCCCATGAAATCGACCAAAGTAAGATTAAATCCTTAAGTATTCTTACTATTTGTTGGGAATGTATATCATGATGCATGTGAATCAGTATGTGTTCGTGCATTGACAACATAAAGCCTTATATTAACATATTTTACAGTTAATTTTTATCTACGTTTTAAACCGTTTTGAGTGTAATATTGTGCGACATCATCAATACCTGACTGACACCTCTATGATTACTAGGCACTAGTCGCTCCTTTATAACAGGCGGTTCTCCAGTTAATCAGCTATTGTTTATATATAATAAAATAGTTATTTAGACCAGGATAAGTAATTAATATTTATTTTAGGGAAATTAGATCCACATCAGTGTTTTTATTTGATACCAAAATGATCTAGTGAATAGTACAAATATGCAATTGTTCAATGTTATGCCTCTAGCTCTAACTACCGCCTTCTTCTTCTGGACAGCAGCGTCCAGCTGAGAGAGGGAAATTATTTTCTATTTTTAAATTCCAGCGTATTGAATGTTTTTCCCGAAATTTTGGGTCCTGGCCTAAATATCCATGACCTATTATCTGCTATGTTCAAACCGGAGGCAATGCTTAAAAGTAGTGGTGGAAAACACATACCCTTGATAACGAGAGTGTCATTCGTACACACATCGGCCTCTGTATGCAGAATTATAACTGTAAGGATTACATCCGCATTCACGTTTCCTCTTGATATTGTCCACCGACATGAGAGTCCACTAAAATATAATCGAAATTCGTATTTTTGTTCAGAGTAAAGGCAGAATTCTAAAAAATAAATTGCACACATTACTTAAAAGTGACAATAGTCGTTAGTTGGAAAAGTAAAATTATAACAAATATATACATATGGGTTATGTTAGTTTTAGGAGTCATTGTACCGGCGATTCACCTGATAACGTGTTAAACCGTCAAAGGGATTAAACGCAGTTCGCGTTCAATGTTTGACATTGCCATGTTAGCACGGGATTCATTGCCAAAGTGTCATTATGTCTTTTAGATATGCGTAAACTTTGACTGTAAACTTGGGAAAGCCATGTAACTAAGGTTTAAATCTTATTTGACTCAAAACATCGCGACAAGTGTTGAACTGGTTGGATAAACCATACATATCAGCGTTACCTGTATCTTGATTGAATATATTATGAGATGGTTACACGTGGTAGAATACTAGAAAGAGTAATAAATGTAACGTTGACCGGACATTAAGAGCTTAATAGGTCAACCACGTGAGTGAGCTTAACACAATTGACTGCAAATAATATGTATATTGTATAGCTAGATAGAAGAAGGAATGGTATCAAGAGGTCAATACGTGCAGTACCCATGTCATTGATATCTTCAATCTGCAATGTATATCAATGCAGTATGTTAATGCGAATATAAACTTGGCCAAATGAAACTCAATTTCAAGCGAAAAGATGTTGTAAATTTATATTTAATACAATGACACAAAATGATAACTTTGTGATATGTATGACGGTTACATACGCATAGTTTCATATATATTCAAATTTCGTTAAAGTGATATATTTCTAATGGTTTAACAAGAACTTGTGTCGTAAAATGTTATACTCGTATATGCCTAATCGCACGATAAATACATTGTACGTTTAAAAGTGACAAAGAGAGCAAACGTTAGCGAAACGGAGGTTAAACTGATGTTATTGAAACCTATATATCAAATATAGCCTTAATTGTCAAAAACTGAATGGATTTGCAATGTATACAATATTTATTTAATAAGGGTAAACATGAGTCACTTACGATGTGTACATCTCCGGAAAGTTTGGAGTAGTGATATACTGGACGGTTGTTGTAGCGATCAGCGGCAGAACAGCATTGTCAGCACAGGAAACAGCTGTATCTGTTAATGGAATCAGCAAACATTGACAACCCTAATGTCCATATTTAGTAAACAGTGACCAAAAACCTCGTTAAAGTTCAAAATACAGATCAGGTTTTCTACCTGTCCTGATAACATTCATTCTGTATGCCCCTTGGCAACTGTTGCATCACAGCTTAAAATTACTGATGTCATTGATACTATCATGATGTGTAACGTTTACACAAAATCCTTTTTCATCGGGGTTTTGCTATATATATATACACATTCCATACTCCATTACATATTCTACGTGCAGTATGGATATTGTTTTGCGCAACACGAATAATTATAAATGATTTAAGCGGAAATATTACACACCATTCTATCTGTTTTATGCGTTATGATACTGCCGTTATTTAACCAGAAAAATATTCATTTAACCATTGCACCAACACATTCACGCCATAAACACCATTTATAATATATATATATATATATTGATTACATTTACGTATAAACTTACGTATATACTTGTGAAAATGTTCATTTTCTGTATGAGAGGCAGATCTAAGGCTTCGGGAGCGGGTGGAAGAATGGCAGTGGTAGATACTAGATGTGGCGGGACCTGTTGGGTTTGGGGACTTGTCTATGAGGAACCAATTGTACAGAGGAGGAGAGGGAAGTGTCTGTCATTCACACGTTTTACGTAAAATTTCATGTTAAACGCTATATAGGAAAGGACATGTTAATGTGTCATTTCAGCTTATTATTGATATACTCGTTAATTTAACGAAATGTCTTTTTAAGACAATTTAACAATAAGATGTGTTTCGAAAAAGTGTTTTCCCAATTCACAACAGAAAAATCTCTGATTCCAATGTCGTCTCGAAAAGAAACAAGAGCTAATCAGGGTACTTACTGCTGGGTTTAATTGCCATATACGTGATATAAAACCCCTTGTTCGCAGTAGTAGTTGCTGTAAATGATACGAAAGCTAAACTTCCTGGCGCAAAATGTAATACGGAGGCACTGGTGTTGGATTGCAGGTCGACAGTGGTTGGATAACGTCGTGTACCGCTAGCGTTGGTTCCTGCAGACAAAAATATGTACAATATATAAGGTGAGTCAATAATCAATAGGTGGATGCAGGCATTGCTGCTTCTTCATCCACAGCAGTAACATGTAAAACGCATTATGATAAACATCCATATTGATTAATTCAATGTTTCAACGTGTTAAGGATGTTTTGAGTTTTCAATGGGATTTTGTACATTTTTGTCTTTAATATCTGTATATATATTTATGTTTGGTTTGAGGGTTAGGAGTTTTCCCTATAATGATAGTTAAATCCTAAATTTGAATTGTTTAACCCATTTATATACCAAAATATGTCTCATAGTATACGAAGTGACTTACAGTTTAAAAGACAAGTGCCTTCCTAACACTGGTCTGGTAATCAGAACTGGCATGTTTTAAACTTTCAGACAGAATGTTGCTAAAAATATCTTATACTTCCCGCAGAACCATAAGATTTTGTGATAGGGTGTGGGAATCATTACATTTTGTTTTGCTATGTAATTAATAAAAAATAGGAAAATTCTAAATCCTATATTCAATAAAGGATAAATAGCAAACGTTTATGTTAGCAGTTAAATAGTAGCTTTTTATGTCCATATATTGCGAAATGCATCGACTATTGTTTATGAAAATCTAAACGCATTTCAGCTATTATATTTCGTAAACCATCTAAAAATGCATTAGTCATAATAAACAATTAGACGTTGTTCACAGCAAAAATCGCTATGCTTCGACATCAGCTTCATAATTTAGTGATTGGTTATTTTTTTATCATTTTTTGTGACAAAAGAAGGCCTTCAACATTAAATACAGTTTCTCTGTTTGAATTTTTTATAACATATGTTTAACCTTATTTTGATAGTATAACAAAAAACATACCGGAATATATGAGCAGTGTATCTCCTGCGTTGAGTCCTTCCATGTTTACTATCAGAAGAATACCAGCACCAGGTTCCTTTGCTCGTATCAACCAGTTACATGTATAATTTCCGATGAAGGCAGTACTTCAAGTGTTGAACGAAACGAAAATATCTTTTGTTAAAATGGAAAATACAAACAATGCATAGTAGTTAAAAGAACAATACTTCATTATTTTCAAAGAAGAAATACCCGTGATGCCATGATAATACATATTGTTGACAATAAGTCAAAAACAATCAATGCATTTTGATTGACAAACGAGCATGTCAGGGACTACTGTGATATGTATATATTTGAGTTACGAACCTTGGATAGTTACTAGGGTATTCTGGAGAACTGAAATTCCCCAAATTTACATCGGCTGAAAGCACTGAGGGTCCTCCTTGGCAAGGGATGTTCAAAATATAACTGAAGAGGAATCCGTGTTCGTTCGCTGTCGTTGTGCTGTCGGATGTGAACTCTATGTCGAAGCTGCTACTTTTGAAAACTTCAGGTGAAAGTACCAACGAGTCGCTACATCTCACATTAGGAGACCTACTTGGACCTACAATAGTTCAGTAAGTGATAGCTAAGCTAACCATCAAACATTGGCTGGCGCCTATCGCAAAGTCGGTCGGAGGTTCGAATGATAAAATGGGGTCACCTGTTCGAATACTCAAGTTTTCTCCTGGTATTCCGGTGTACTCCTATATTGAGACCTCTCATACACTTCAATGGGTACGAACAAAATTAAGTAATAAAACAAAAATACATACATTTCATAAAATGTTAACTGAGATCCCATTAACAACACCATCAATTTAACTGAAATGAAAACGTTTATTCTACCACCCTGTTATGTTCTGCTGTTGAAATAAACCCAGCTGAGAACCAACCTTGCTGAACGTTGAGCTTATCTCCGTCACAAGCAGATCCGTTTTCCTGAATCTGGAAGGTGATGAGCGTAAACAAAACATCAATTCCAGAGTTACCATTCGATATATGCCAATTGCAGTTTTGATCTCTGTAAGAAAATACATTGAGTACAGTGAGAGTGATTAATAAGAAAAAAAATGTTTGGTAAGATTTTCACAATATAATTCACGAATAACAGCCAAAAACATTGTTAAAAATTTTGGATGTTTAAGTCATTCCACAATGAAACATTCGTAACGATGTTAAAGATAAATGATTGACTTATTTACCTGGGATAGAGGGCGGGGAAGTTAGCACTTGTGATATACTGTATCGTAGACGTGGCGACCAGTTGAGATACAGAAATGTTGCACGAGCCGGTATTGTCTGAAAAAATAATATCAAACATTAGATTACAGCAAAGCAGATCTCCGACACCGTATCAGAACATATAAGTCAATGATGGATACACAAATTGCGCAATTTAAGCACGATTCAGGTTTTTTTGTGACAAAAGGATATTTTTTATATAATGTCAGATGAAAGTTTTTTTAACAACGATGACTAGGATATATCAGGGCTCAAAACAGCCCAATGAGTTGCCATCCATTTGCGAAAATATTTAGCGCTGTTTGTTAGCATAATCAGTAACATCAATGACCTAACAACAACTACCAATACAATTCACGAAAGTGATTGCAACATAATTTAATACGCACACCTGCCGCCCATCTTCAAACTAACCCTTGACGTTAGCGTTAGATGTGATACATTGACAGATGGACGGACAGATCATCTGTTACAGATTTTCAGCTGTAAATATTGTACATTTTATCATGTATCTTGACCATGTGTAAGATGAGCTTCATGCTCAATATGTTATCAAGAATAAATAAAGCCTTTATTATTTTTATTATTATTACAAGCTAACCGGTAATAAGATTTATATATAAATGTTCAATGCCGCCGTGAATATTCTCCATAATTATGCTTATTGAAGATTTAAAAGAAACTGTGGTTAGGTATACATGTAGCAAACACTAGTGAAAGCAAGTGTTTTTTTTTATAAAAGCACTGGATAAAGTCTTGAGTGTAATCAGCCCAACAGAACTCAAAATATAAGTAGTGCGTATTATAAACTGATTTTCTTTTCATATAGTAACAGTGATAGAGACCTAACCCCCGGGCCTGGAAAGTTATCCCAATCAGGCACTTTCTTTGAAGAAGCACTGTATAAAGTCAAGAGTATAATCAGCCCAAGAGAAATCAAGATATTGTGCATTAGTGCATTAAACAGATTGTCTATTTATAGCGACCCATTGACCTTTGACCACTGGACCTGAAAAGTTATCCCAAGCAGGCACTTTCTTCCATGAAGGACTCTGAGTGTAATCAGTCCAACTGATTTTGAAATACAGTGCACAAACTGATGTTCTAATTATAATAAGTGACCTTGACCTTTGATATCAAAGGCTGAAAAGCTATCAAAATGCTTAAACAAACATTTTATTACACTGGATAAAGTCCACGTATGCACACATACAAGGTTCTACACTTAAAGTTGATAAGTTGACTTTAATATTCATATGTTTTTTCTGCATGTTATTACCATCTCCATAACATATTTGATGAAGTTGCTAAGTGTTTAAATTGAATCAGTTGATGATTTTCTATATATAGCAACAGTGACCTTGGCCTTGACCTTGGAACCCTGAAACACAGCAATGTCCTAAGTATACTCATACTTGACCTTTGCATAAAGTTTGACCAAAATCCATGGACGAATGAAGTTGCTAAGTGTTTAAATTGAATCAGTTGTTGATTTTCTATATATAGCAACAGTGACCTTGTTCTGACCTTGGAACCCTGAAACCAATACAATTCACGAAAGTGATTGCAACATAATTTAATACGCACACCTGCCGCCCATCTTCAAACTAACCCTTGACGTTAGCGTAAGATGTGATACATTGACCCTGAAACACAAGGGTATACCCATATTTGACCTATGTATAAAGTTTGACCAAAATCCGTGAAAGAATGAGGTTGCCAAGTGTTTAAATTGAATCAGTTGTTGATTTTCTATATGTAGCAAGTGTGACCTTGACCTTGGATCCCTGAAATACAACGATTTATGAAGTATACTCATACTTGACCTATGTTTAAAGTTTGAACAAAAACTGTCAAAGAATGAAGTCGCTAAGTGTTTACATTGAATCGAGACGGGACGGGACGGGATGATGTTCTATATATAGCAAATGTGACCTTGGCCTTGACCTTGGATCCCTGAAATACAAAGATGTCCGAAGTATACACATACTTGACCTTTGTATAAAGTTTGACCAAAATCTGTCAATGAATGAAGTTGCTAAGTGTTTACATTGAATCGGGATGCGACGCGACGGGATGGGACAGGACGCCGCACCAGGGCAAAAACTCACGTGTCCTTGGTAGGTGAGCTAAAAACAGATAGGACAGACAGACGTAAAATCTGATTACTAAAGATGTGCAGGGATCCTAACAATAAATTGTGTAACTGAATTGGAGAATCCCCCTTTGTGACCCCACTCCTCCCCAGAGTATTATGATAGAGACCCTCTGTTAAACGGCATTCAGTCTTCTTAACCAAGTAATGCTCCAGACCATTGGTTTGAAAACATCATCAAGCCATACAGAAGGACTTCAAAGGATGTACGGTTTCAGGTGATTTATGTCTTCAGCCAGGGTCATATGAGGACGGGTGTCACCTATAGAAGAAAACTGCAATTCGAAGGAAGTGCATGTGTTCACGGAAAAAATACAGTTACTAATAAGAATTTCCTATGTGCAAAGGGCTATAACTCCAGAAAAAATAGAACATGGACACTGGATTCTAACTCAAACTGTAAACCATTATACATGTATACTAAGTTACAAATAATATGGAAAACAGTTAATTATGAGAATTTCCTATGTGCAAAAGGGCCATAACTCCAGTCAAAAATGGAATTTTAATACATGGTTCAAACTCTGTAATCTATTATGATAAAGCCACAAACAAAGTTTCAAATTGATATGGCAAGCGGCCGTAGCGAAGGGCCATAACTCCAGCAACAAATGAAATATTGACACAGGGTTTGGACTCTAACTGTAATCCATTATGATAAAGCAACATACTAAGTGGCAAACGGTAACGAACAAAGTATGGCAAACAGTTAATTATGAGAACTTCCAATGTGTGAAGGGCCATACATGTAACTCCAGCAAAAATAAAATATTGGCAAGCGGTTCGAACTTGATCTGAGAGAGCATGAGTATTACTTTTAACAAATTTTAAATTATATAAGAAATAATTCTCAGGGACACCATCTAAATGAAAATAATTAATTGATTGATATAACAGTCGAGATGCATTAAAAATCCTCCCCACACGGAAAGTAAAGCAAACATAACAGTAAAATGTTCAAACCTGGCCTGCATGGTGTAAAGTTTCACCTTTTGACCTTTTGTAACTTTCAGCTTTCTTGGCGAATTTTTCCACATTTTTAAATATCTCCCATTCTCATCAGATGTATATGAAGTGCATAACAAATGGAAAAATAAAAATATGAATGATAAACTGCCAGAATAAGATGTATAGGAAAGCAAACAAAGGGGCACAACTCTACGAGTTCGTGAAAATCCAGCCCTTACTTTCTTCTATTTTTAGGATGCTTCTACACCAAAGTCAAATAACTTTGGCTACTTCAAATTCTGACAGGTCAATGACCCTTGATGAGACTTATTTAGCTGTCAAAAGTCAGACCAAAAAATACTGCAGTACAATTTTATGTCAACTGATGTATTAGTGGATTATATATTAAATATGAATGTTGAACAGAAACATTTTAACATTTAAGCGAACACGTATTTTTTTTACAATCCTTTTAATAACAGATTTAGGGAATGGAGGGTTTAAATGTAGTTTGTTGATTTTTAGTGGATCGAAGAGATACATGCATAACATTTTTTTTAAACACAGTATTCTAAAAGATATGATTAAGGTTTCAGACTCTTTTCGGTTATCAGCATCTTGTGAGGAAACTCCATGTATTGTAGCAGAAAAATGTCAACAAATAATATGAAGAGTAGTGAAGTTGATATAGAAAGTTCAGTTCCTGCTATATATTTGTATTAAAGTTGTCAAAGAATCAGACATTTGGCAGACCTTTCTTATACATATGACTTAAAAGTGGTTGCAAGGATTTATAAAACCGAAAAAACAAACTGATTCCTATCCCTTATACAGAGAACAGTGTTGAAATATAGATGAACTGAAGGTATTGAAAATAACGTCAGGTAATTCGGGTAAAATGGACTTTCATCATGATTTTACATATTCATAATGTGTTTATACAGCCTCCCTTAAGAAAAACACATTCTATACATGTTTTCAGCCTGTTTTTGTTTTCATTACTGTCCAGCCTGTAACATCTCATCTTTGCTAGCTAAGCGTTCATTTTGTATTCACATATTCATGTATTCAACCTTAGCGGATTAAGCCTTGTTCTCTAAGCTTTTTAATTATTGAACCTGGCACAGGGATTTGGCACGAATTACCATCCTATGGTCCACATATTTTGTTTATATCATACGTTATATAATACACATATGTGAACTAAGGGTTAGAAATTAATAAACCAAGTTCCTGAGCATGTAAATAATAATGGCGGCGCCCAGTACCAAGTTGCCTTGTAGACTATGTCATGATTTATGTAAAAAAAAAAAAAAGGAGGACAATACTTTAAGAAACATTTTCTGTATATGATCAGTTGGTATAGATAATTGTTTCGCTATCACAAGGAGACAAACATGAACATACCACAGATACATTAATTATGCACAAACTCACCACACGCATGCATCTAGCAAATGGGGGAGGCCGTCCTTAAATGACAATGTAAGAGTCTGCGAGACCAGCTGTTCTAACTTACAAACGTCCAGGTGACGAGAAAGAACATGAGAGGAATGTTTCTGACTTTTGACAGGAGCTGTAGGCAATTCACACTTTTCAATTTGTACTATTCTTCTTTTTGGATAACGATGCTTTAACTTGTAAGCGGAAAATACATTACTGGCGTCACAAGCAGCATCAATACTAAAAACTTCTTAATAATAACGGCTACCAAACCCGTGCTCCTGGTTACAAATAAATGCTATGTCCCAATCACCTGCCCTCTGGACTGGTTTTTAAGTAAGTTGTTTTAGTGCCAAATTTTGAACAGCATGATTATTTAGCCTCTTTATCTTAATCCTTCCTACGTAGGTATCTTGTGATAAAATGTGTTGTTTGCCTAACACTGTCACAATGTTTTACCATTTATATATATATATATATATATATGTTTGTCGAAATACAAGCTCCTGTGAGCTTATGTTAACTATGACATATATATTCAACGTAAAATAATGATTCTTGTATCTTGTGTTTTTAAGTAACATGCCACTATGCTTTTATCCGATAATTTTAAGATAAAAAACACACACACAAGCTTTCAATCACGAAATTTTCCTCGAACGCGCTCGTATAATCTTCGGCACGATGAAGGACAAGTTAAGGTATATTGTTGATGCCGACATCTACAAATGTATGTAAACTGTAAAACGAAACTAGGTCTGCGCGATCGCAAACATTTAATGCTGATATTTTCGTATAAATGTATGTTAGTACTTGATGTGATAGCAATGGATTACACGAGTGTTACCTTGTGTTGTATTCTAGCACATCAGTGTCTCAATACATACGGTATTAATCTGTTAATGTTCGATAAACGTCTGTTTATTATTTCTGTCCTGATTATGTTGAGAGGTATTTCCGGGTCACGTTCTCGTATCAAGTGCGCTTCCAGTTACGTCATAAAATGCAAAATCTTTTTGATATTTATTAATTAAAGATAGTTTAAAGAGTAAACGAGTTAATAAAAAAAATATCAATACATTGTAAATATTATTTTCTTGAATGGTTGCGAAGCAGACAACAGTTTGATCATAAGAATTTTTTTTCAAAAGAAATATGTTTTAACGCTTGAAAGAAAAAAAATTAAAGGGGAAAAAATCAATTTGTTCTTTTATGAATTTATGAAAGTGATACAAAAAAGAAACATAGTAAATTTATCAAAAACATCATCCTTAGAGAGTATGTTCTGGGCATGATCGTTTAGAAGCTTTGCAATACTTCCAACTCTTTCAAACGCGCATCAGCTCGAGATTAGACCCTGTTTACAAAATGGCGACTGGAAGTAGCAAGGCGGATTAAATTAGAATTTCAATTGTGAATATATCGGCAAGTAAACATTGTTCACAAAGCCCATGTGGTCTGTTCATCTAATTTAGTCAAGATGTACTCAGACCAGTCGTTGTTTAGTCGCTAGGGTCATTCACAAAAAAATAGTATTATTATATAAACTTAATGTAATTATCAGTAGAAAATTAACTCTTTCGAGTATATTTCATAAACGTTGAGAACAATTAACGAATGTTTTTGGAAGAATTAACATTTTTTCATGACTGTCATTTCAAATATATACATATATAACAACTAAATATACATACACTTTCAGCATAGCCTTTATGTCGATTTTCATATTTCCGACATATTTTACAATTTTGTATATACGCTTCTTTGGTCATTTGTCTGATGAAGGCGACAGCGTACGTAGCTTACTAGACATCGAACTATAACACATAAACACATTGCTTGCTGTGCGACATAACCGTTCTACAATTCATACCAATACGAAGAAAATGTTTACAAAAATGACATTGATATTTTTTAACGTATCCTTAGTTTCAAAATTATGATGCTACACGTTCTATGTTGAAATGTCGATATACCAAACAATAACCTACTTGTGACAGGATGTGATATATAGTCAACAACAAATCCCGTCGAGCCCGTCGGGCTGCTCACTGTAAACTGTATGAAAGCACTGGATGCAGAATTGCTCACGAACACTTGGTTGGAGATACCGGTCGAACGTTTCCTCCGATTGGGTGGGTAAATGACAGTTCCGGAGTTGTTCCTTCCTTATGTGTACAATGTCCAAAAAAATAATGCATGTTTGATATTAGCTTTTGCAGTAAAACAAACTATATATTTCTCGGACAAAACTAACCTTAATGTTACAATACTGCAAAAACCATACGATGCGTCAACTTTATAATACTTCTCAACATTCATGATAATAGTTATATTTTTAATCAGCATTTCGCTCATCCAGCTGAAGTAAAGCCTCTGCAAGTAACAAATATTTTTTGGTAATTCTATTGAAGACTTGTGCGAAAACGCAGGGGGACGATCATATGTATGATATTGGACGAGATCCTTACCATAGTATTCTATATTCAACCAAACAAAACAAAGTGTGCTTACCATCATATATTACTATGCTGTCAGCCGCGTCAATACCAGATAGGTTAAAGGACATTAGATTCCCGTCTGCACCATATTGGGGCGCTATCACGAAGTAACATGTATACGGGCCCGAGTACAATGCTCTGATGTTTTCATAAATGTAAGATAAACAGCATATATAATAAACAAAAATGTTGACAAATAAAGACAATTTTACTGCAAGGAACAAATCTGAAAATAGAAATTTAAAAGGAAAAGACCACAAAAATCACCGTGGAAACATCACACACAAAATACAAATGGATTAATGTTCGAATTTCTGACAAAGATAAACTATCTTTTAAATTTAAGAAATCAGTTTGCTTCGTAAAAAACCCGTTTCAATGTCCGGTTCGTTACGTATGGCAGCATATACAGGTATATGAATCAGATTTCACTTTAAAACAGTAATTCTATGGAGTTTTACCTATTACAAATCAACATCTTGTATACACACTACTAACATACACTGTCCGTATTGTCAGTTTTATATACTAGATTTAAATAGTCAATATATCTCTTTGAAATATGCTCTTTTTATTGTAAAAAAAATCTTCATTTCTCCTAGTATATGCGTATAAATACGATTTCATGAAGATAAATATCACTATTGTAATGAATTGTATTGCACCATATTGACACGCATCATACCTGAAAAGGAGGATAAATTAAAGGTTAAAGATAATGGGGAGGAAAATTCAACGCAAAAAAATGCCTTATTGATCTTACCCTGGGTATTTTGGGTATTCGGGGGATATCAACTTCTTCAGCGCCGAGATGGAGTTGAGTTCAATTACCGAATCATTACAGGGAGCATCAATGATGTACCGTAACTGAAATCCAGTCTTTGCGATTGTTTGATCAGTCTTGAAATATATTTCAAAACTGCTATCAGTATAATTCTCTGTTGCTGTTACCAACGTGTCCGAGCACCGCTTTACTTCCTCTTTTGTTGATCCTACAAAATGAATCTTGCTTGACTATCACTTATCACAAAATATAAGGTTTATCTAGCGGTTTAGGCGAGGTCAAGAGTTTTCAATAGAAGAGATCAAAGAAATTAACGCTTGGTCTCAGGAGAGCATTCCACCGAGCCGAAAAAAATACTACCAGTAACAGGAAAGACATCTTTCTCTTTCGAGATATCCCGGAAGTGGGGTAAGTACATGTAGTAAATGGTTAACTTATCTATATGGAATGTGTATTCGACTCTGTTATTTCATTGCTTTTTCTTTTTCTTTGAAAATGTTATCTTGGCATGTCACTTTCGCATCTTTACCAAAATAAAGTCGGTTATTAAATCAGTATTATATAAAAACCTTTTCGTATTACAAGTTCGTCTTCTTCACAATTTGTTGCATTTTGGATCTGGTATAGGAGAAGCTGAAGAATGACTCCCCTGTAACTACCTCCATCGTCTATACTCCATGTACACTGCTGATTACTAAAGAAAAATAACACATATCGCTCAGCTCACATTTATTCTAACTAAAATTAAAACATTCCCTGTACGCGATAACTGATATTGATGCAGTCTTAAAGATTATTAGAAACACAAAAGTGCATAGTTTTATGTTTTTGGTATTACAGAATCTTAATTGAAACAGTGTCATTAATAAGATATTAACACGAACATGAAAATGGAAAAACAAGTTTCTTAGAGAATATAGAATCTTTCGACAACAACTCTTTTATTGACAGCAAAGTGACATGTAATATTGTGTTGTTGAGTACTATGTGGCACACGATAACGTGATAGCTATATCATCATCTTCGTAGTGACATGTACGATTGTGTTGTTGAGTACTATGTGGCACACGATAACGTGATAGCTATATCATCATCTTCGTAGTGACATGCGATAGCTGTGTTTTTGTCTTCGAAGTGACATCAGTGTTATCATCTTCACAGTGACATGTGATGGTGAAAGCTTTGTTTTGTCTTCGAAGTGACATCAGTGTTATCATATTCACAGTGACATGTGATGGTGAAAGCTGTGTTTTGTCTTCGAAGTGACATCAGTGTTATCATCTTCACAGTGACATGTGCTGGTGAAAGCTGTGTTTTGTGTACAAAGTGACATGAGAACGCCGACTTAAAAGTAAAAGGTGACGTTAACGGTGTTATTTACCTTCATCCAGGCATTTGACGACGGGTCTTGTATTCCACCACATACTGCCATGTGGCAGCTACAACGTTAATTTACTGACTGTTCAGAGACAATTGAGAACCATAATAAAGTTTCCGACCATAATGGTGGCTATACGATACTACTTGGGTAAATATGAACATGTTTATAAATCTTTCCTGAATAAACTCACTTTAGATAGTCATCTGGAAAGTTTGGACTTGTGAGGTAGGCTGGGCTGGAAGTAGCAGTTAGCTGACGATTTGACACGCTGCAGGCGGGTGTCGTGTCTGAAACAATCGTGCATGATATTGACAATATATAGTCACACATATTATTCTGTGACAATGCGAGCGTGACTCACGTTAAAAAACACTACCACGGATTACTGGAATGTTTAGTACCATTAGAACCACCTACATATAGCTGACTGGTGATCCCGGTGTGCTGAACACTGTTGTTTACATCGTTAAGAAACAAGCCACTTCAACATTTTCAACAAACATAAAAGATACAATGATACATCACCCATGAGTTTCTCCTTTTCTTGGAATTCGATTGATTCATTTCTTTCGTATTTTTTTTTCTCAAAAAATGCGGCAATTTTGCTAGAAATGGCTTAGATAATTATATCACACATTTTCATCGGAATTGATGGGAGGAAACATCGATTCCGATTTCGTTATTCGTTTGTGATTTGATGAATCTATGTTTATGTCCCTTAGCAACGCAGGATATGACTTATTACTCGTGCAAGAATACAGGCAACACACAACTTAATTATGTTTCGTATTTTGGACCGAAAATGGAATATTGGAATAATGGAATGTATAAACACATGTAAGCATTATATTTTATCTGCTAAAAAACTCATATTAATAATCACGGTTGAATAGCAAGAAGTTAAACTCTTAAATTTTTTAAATTTCAAAAAATCCAAACGTTTAATATCATTGATGATTGGTTACTCAGAAACTATTAACTTTAAACTTTAACATCTTAAGTCGATTATCCAACATGACTTGCATACATGCAAACAAAGATCGTTTTTAACCTAAACTTACCGACTGGTCTCTGCGCCATGTATTTCACGATAAATCCGCTATTTGCGGAACTTGTCACTGAGAACTTTAGCACTGCTGACTTCCCTGGGGAAACTTCGAATTTAGGAGCGAAAGTCAAATCGGCTCCGTTTGCTGGATAAAGTCTAGTTCCCAAAACATTACCTGAGTAAGAAAAACAAACCGATAAAACAAAGCAATGTTATCATCAAACAACTTCATCATGATCAACCTTAATCGTCATATAATTTTCGAAGAGTTTGCTCCAGATACGTTAAATAACATATTTATATAGAATTCGTTTATCAACAAAAATTTAAAATATTGCTCAAAGAGGGTGGAAAGTAAAATGAATAAACACTTTTTAATCAGCAACTAGTTCCAAACACATGTATATGTTACATGCTATTTTAGCATCATTTTTAAAGTAAAGAGTTGTCTACCTTGGAATATCTCCAACGTATCCCCAGCTGTCAAATTTTTTATTTCAATGGCTAGCAGTAGATTGGCCACATTGTCAGACGATTCAATGAGCCAGTTACACACATAGGATCCGATAGGGATGGCGCTTAAACATCAAAACATCAGAGGGATTATAACAAATGACATAATGCTAATAACATAATAGAAATAATATAATTATGTAGATTAACGAAACGTTTCAATAGTAACTCCTGTACTCGTCCTCTGTCTTTACCATTTCTTTCCTTTCTTCTGACCATACTATTTCTATCCTCTTTCTCTGACCATAATATTTCTATCCTCTTTCTCTTACATGCACCATGCCGTTTTTTCCCTTCCTCTGACCATACCATTTCTCTCCCTTCCCCTGACCATACCATTTCTTCCCTTTCTCTGACCATACCATTTCTCTCCTTCCCCCTGACCATACCATTTCTTCCCTTCCTCTGACCATACCATTTCTCTCCCTTCACCTGACCATACCATTTCTTCCCTTTCTCTGACCATTCCATTTCTCTTCTTCCCTCTGACCATACCATTTCTTTCCTTCCTCTGACCATACCGTTTCTCTCCTTTCCCCTGACCATAGCATTTCTCTCCTTTCCCCAGACAATACCATTTCTCTCCTTTCCCCTGACCTTACCATTTCCTCCCTTTCTCTGACCATACCATTTCTCTTCTTCCCTCTGACCATACCATTTCTTTCCTTCCTCTGACCATACCGTTTCTCTCCTTTCCCCTGACCAAACCATTTCTCTCCTTTCCCCTGACCATACCATTTCTTCCCTCTGTCTGACCATACCATTTCTCTTCCTTCCCCTGACCATACCATTTCTCTCCTTTCCGCTGACCATACCATTTCTCTCCCTTCCCCTGACCATACCGTTTTTCTCCCTTCCCCTGACCATACCATTTCTCTCCTTTCCCCTGACCATACCATTTCTCTCCCTTCCCCTGACCATACCATTTCTTCCCTTCCTCTGACCATACCATTTCTCTCCCTTCACCTGACCATACCATTTCTTCCCTTTCTCTGACTATCCCATTTCTCTCCCTTCCCCTGACCATACCATTTCTTCCCTTCCTCTGACCATACCATTTCTCTCCCTTCACCTGACCATACCATTTCTTCCCTTTCTCTGACCATACCATTTCTCTCCCTTCCCCTGACCATACCGTTTCTCTCCTTTCCCCTGACCAAACCATTTCTCTCCTTTCCCCTGACCATACCATTTCTTCCCTCTCTCTGACCATACCATTTCTCTTCCTTCCCCTGACCATACCATTTCTCTCCTTTCCCCTGACCATACCATTTCTTCCCTTTCTCTGACCATACCATTTCTCTCCTTCCCCCTGACCATACCATTTCTTCCCTTCCTCTGACCATACCGTTTCTCTGCTTTCCCCTGACCATACCATTTCTCTCCCTTCCCCTGACCATACCGTTTCTCTCCTTTCCTCTGACCATACCGTTTATCTCCTTTCCCCTGACCATACCGTTTCTCTCCTTTCCCCTGACCATACCGTTTCTCTCCTTTCCCCTGACCATACCATTTCTCTCCTTTCCCCTGACCATACCATTTCTCTCCTTTCCCCTGACCATACCATTTCTCTCCTTTCCCCTGACCATACCATTTCTCTCCTTTCCCCTGACCATACCATTTCTCTCCTTTCCCCTGACCATACCATTTCTCTCCTTTCCCCTGACCATACCATTTCTCTCCTTTCCCCTGACCATACCATTTCTCTCCTTTCCCCTGACCATACCATTTCTCTCCTTTCCCCTGACCATACCATTTCTCTCCCTTCCCCTGACCATACCATTTCTCTCCTTTCCCCTGACCATACCATTTCTCTCCTTTCCCCTGACCATACCATTTCTCTCCTTTCCCCTGACCATACCATTTCTCTCCCTTCCCCTGACCATACCATTTCTCTCCCTTCCCCTGACCATACCGTTTCTCTCCCTTCCCCTGACCATACCGTTTCTCTCCTTTCCCCTGACCATACCGTTTCTCTCCTTTCCCCTGACCATACCGTTTCTCTCCTTTCCCCTGACCATACCATTTCTCTCCTTTCCCCTGACCATACCATTTCTCTCCCTTCCCCTGACCATACCATTTCTCTCCTTTCCCCTGACCATACCGTTTCTCTCCCTTCCCCTGACCATACCGTTTCTCTCCTTTCCCCTGACCATACCGTTTCTCTCCTTTCCCCTGACCATACCGTTTCTCTCCTTTCCCCTGACCATACCATTTCTCTCCTTTCCCCTGACCATACCATTTCTCTCCCTTCCCCTGACCATACCATTTCTCTCCTTTCCCCTGACCATACCATTTCTCTCCTTTCCCCTGACCATACCATTTCTCTCCTTTCCCCTGACCATACCATTTCTCTCCTTTCCCCTGACCATACCATTTCTCTCCTTTCCCCTGACCATACCATTTCTCTCCTTTCCCCTGACCATACCATTTCTCTCCTTTCCCCTGACCATACCATTTCTCTCCTTTCCCCTGACCATACCATTTCTCTCCTTTCCCCTGACCATACCATTTCTCTCCTTTCCCCTGACCATACCATTTCTCTCCTTTCCCCTGACCATACCATTTCTCTCCTTTCCCCTGACCATACCATTTCTCTCCTTTCCCCTGACCATACCATTTCTCTCCTTTCCCCTGACCATACCATTTCTCTCCCTTCCCCTGACCATACCATTTCTCTCCCTTCCCCTGACCATACCGTTTCTCTCCCTTCCCCTGACCATACCGTTTCTCTCCTTTCCCCTGACCATACCGTTTCTCTCCTTTCCCCTGACCATACCGTTTCTCTCCTTTCCCCTGACCATACCATTTCTCTCCTTTCCCCTGACCATACCGTTTCTCTCCTTTCCCCTGACCATACCGTTTCTCTCCTTTCCCCTGACCATACCATTTCTCTCCTTTCCCCTGACCATACCATTTCTCTCCTTTCCCCTGACCATACCATTTCTCTCCCTTCCCCTGACCATACCGTTTCTCTCCCTTCCCCTGACCATACCGTTTCTCTCCTTTCCCCTGACCATACCGTTTCTCTCCTTTCCCCTGACCATACCGTTTCTCTCCTTTCCCCTGACCATACCGTTTCTCTCCTTTCCCCTGACCATACCATTTCTCTCCTTTCCCCTGACCATACCATTTCTCTCCTTTCCCCTGACCATACCATTTCTCTCCTTTCCCCTGACCATACCATTTCTCTCCCTTCCCCTGACCATACCATTTCTCTCCTTTCCCCTGACCATACCATTTCTCTCCCTTCCCCTGACCATACCATTTCTCTCCTTTCCCCTGACCATACCATTTCTCTCCTTTCCCCTGACCATACCGTTTCTCTCCTTTCCCCTGACCATACCGTTTCTCTCCCTTCCCCTGACCATACCATTTCTCTCCCTTCCCCTGACCATACCATTTCTCTCCTTTCCCCTGACCATACCATTTCTGTCCCTTTCCCTGACCATACCATTTCTCTCCTTTACCCTGACCATACCATTTCTCTCCCTTCCCCTGACCATACCATTTCTCTCCTTTCCCCTGACCATACCATTTGTTTCCTCTTCCTCTGACGATCTGACGATACTATTTCACTCCTCTTTTTCTGATCATAATTTTTTTTCTCCTCTTACTCTGACGATACTATTTCTCACCTCTTCCTCTGACCATACCATTTCTTACCTCATCCCCAGACCATACCATCTCTCCCCTCTTCATTTGATTATACCATTTCTCTCCTTTTTATTCTGACTATACCATTTCTCTTCTTTCTCCGTTTTTACAATTTCGCTCCTCCTCCTATAACCATATCATCTCTCTCCACTTCAACCAATCGTGGTTTACTCTTTTCTCCCATACTTATCGAAGCCCTCTCACTCCCCTTACACTCAGTGAAACCACATCTCCTGTAATCTGATCATGTCATCCTCATTCGTAGCTGTGATAGCACCTCATCCTCCACACATATACACACAGATCATTACCTTTCACTCTGATTGAAACCATCCCAACCTCTAGCACAGATTGGGATTAACCGATACTCTAACTCGCAATAATCCCACTCTCCCACACTGGTCTGTGCCATCTACTCATCACCCCTGAATCAAGCTCACTGTCATCATCTCACTCAATTTTTTGACATTTTTCTACTAAATCAATAACAAGAACTCATTTATCACATACTAAGGCATTCTTAATGTACACCCCTTTCCGTTTTTATGAGACAACAGACAAGGTATTTTTTGTTTTACAAGCCAGTTCTGCTTCCTCATTTAACTATCGTTTGAATCAAATAAATCTCTTTAACAAGTTATCTTTTGAAATTTGAACTTTATTTTTGAAATTATATTTGTTTATATTGTTAGGGATTTATTATGCTATTTAATTGTGATTCTCTCTTGCTTTCTCTGTTATACAGTTGCAAAATCATATCATAAGCACCTACCTTGGATAGTTTTCGGGATAAAGTGGGGAAGTGAATTCTTTAATATTTTCATTTCCAGCAAGCCGGACCTCGCTTCCGTTGCAGGGTGGACCTAGTATATAACTTAACACAAAACCATGCTCTTGTACATTAGCGTTTGAAAGAAAATCCAAAACAAAACTACCACTTGTAAAATTCTCCGGGGATGTTATGAGCTCGTCGCTACATTTTGTTGTTATCCCATCAGCATCTATAAATAAAATGTCAAGCGATAAAGACTTTGCCATGAGGAGGGTAAAAGAGAGGGAATCACAATGTCTAAATAAACATATACAATGAAACCTGTTCAATATATCCTATCGTTATCAATATATAATGCTGCATTTAACGTTATTTAATGGAATATCAAAAATAATTCGTCCGACACTAAAGGTATATGTTGATAAGTTGGAATAGATATGCAGGTGCTATTCTCACCTGTTATGACCAGTTTGTCATTGGTGCACTCGATATGGTAGAGATGGAGCTTTAAGAACACACCCCTGCCGGAGAAGCCGTCGATGAGATTCCATTTGCATGTTAAGTCTCTGGAACACGATGAACCTCGTGACATTTTATTTGCATTCAATTTCCAAATTAGAACATAAACAATATTAAGTTTTTTCTCATCTAATCATAAAAACATCACCCTTTTATATTTGAAAAATAATACTGGGACTGGTGTGAGGTTGTCAATGCGTTTGATGTTATTTTGCCATACAGTGTATAAGATCGTTCATCACCCCTGCAGGTCGGGGATCGAGAACAGTATACACCTGCTGCTACCCTTGGAATGTAGCGTAACAGGCGAATTGGGGATTTACTTTTGTGCCCTCTACTTAGGAACACGAAAGCAACCAAAATAAATCTGCTGCACCAATTGCAATATTTGGGATCTTTATATTTCTCTCTAATTTTAACTACCTTTTATTTCCTAGCGCCTTGCTTTGATACACCTCACTTTTGGCTTTAATGCTGAACGTTTGCCAGAGTAAAGAAGGCCATGGGTTGTGTCCCAAGGCCGGGAAAGGCCGTAGTCCTTAAAATGGTAGTTGTTATTCCCTGCATAACGTTCAGCATTTAGGGTAATGGCAACAATTGGTTCACCCGTTATGAGTACAATATGACCTCGCGGAGTTTTGTGTTGGGTGCCTTCGGCATGGTATTTCAGGGAAATAGCACTATGAAGTCGGCATCAGAATCGCGCTTTCACATGGAGGCAATTACACCAGTATAGCCTACTTCCAGTATACATACACACATGCACGCATACACAACATACATGGAGGCACGTCCCTAAATGACCTAAGCTGTTAATAGGACAAAAATGAAACCTCAAACCAATCCTTTATCATGATAGATGCCAAATTGCTTATGAATAATGTTTTCTTTTCTGTTACCACCTCGGTATTTATAAACCCGACTACTTCATGTAATTTGATTCTGTAAAACCTTGCGTATTTTACGGCATCTATCAGTCACTATCTTGTTTCTCAAATTGTGACGACATAGGCTATTTAATTTAACTGCGAAACTGCAACGCTGTTTACCAAAATTTCTCACACACATACCAGTGACGTCACAATCCGAAAAAAGCCTTATGATTGATGATGTCAAAATACCTTGATATGTACGCGTTGGATTTTTTCAACAAACGTAACAATGTAGTTTCTTCAATCAAAGTGACACGTTAATAAGTCATATTGCCAAACAAATTGACGTCGCTGTTGTACCGAATCATGGAAATTGTGTAATATAATTGTGTGTAATTTTAACATATATGCATGTAGGTTAATTATGAATTTATTCTCAACAATAAATGCATCACTCCCTACAGTAATTGATCAATTTGATTTTTCATTTACTCCTTATAATAATTATTTCTCCCATAACCAGTATAGGTTTTCTCACTTCTGATTCATTGGATAAACCTGCTAGGAGTTGGTAAACATTTTTATTTACCCACTAGTGGGTAACACCCTGGACGTGATTTCATTGGTCATTTTTTTTACAGTACTTACCCATCATACAGTTTCGGAAAGTTGGTGCTTGTAATGAACTGTAAGTGATCTGTTGCGTTTAATGTGAAGTCAGAGGCACCAGAACATGACTGACTGTTATCTACAAAGGTATTGAAACACAATAAAACATCTGCTTGCTGCATTTATAAATATAATACAATTAGTGCTTTGTGCTGTATTTATAGATATAATACAATAAGTGCTTTGTAAAGTACAGTTAGACTTGTCATACTGTAAAGATAAATATTGTGTTCTCATCGGTTAAATTGTCGGGGTATATGAAGCTGCGTTTGTTCATAAAGCATAAAAGCGCAACATTTGCCAATAAAGGGGACGTAATTCCCATAAAAAATCCGTACCAAGCGAAGCATTCGAAAATGGTTCTAGCAAAGCAGTAATGCACAATTTCGTAAATTTTAAGGAAGAAGGAGGGAGCACCAAGATAGGAATCAGCGCATTAATGGAGAAGCTATCAAAATGGTATCGTTTTAATGCAACATAATAGATGCGGAAATATTTTGGGTTGACAAAGACGGAGTTACATATTATAGACGGCCCAGTACCTAAGACAGCGCTAATTATAGCACACCTTACGTAAAGATTGGATAAACCTTTGGCAACCTCTATGACAAAATAATTCAAATCCGACCGAAGAACAACCCTATTCTGACAAGATTAAAGGAGGAGATTTTAACCTTCTAATTATAGTCTGGGCATCAGATATATATAGTTTCCAGTTCGGTGTGTAATGCAGACACCGAACTTTATGATGAAGATCAAACAAGACCAAAACAAAAAGTTTACTAATGTTTTGAAGGTTCATAAAACGTTTATCGAAAGCCAGTTTCAAAAAGACACTTTGGATGGTATACCTGTATTCAAGGTTGATTAGGAAACTATGGTGAGATGATTACGAACTGTGAGCTTGCATGTTTAACACATATATTACGTTATTTATTAGAACAATTAATTATGCAACAAAACATTTATAAATTGAACACACTTTTTGTCATCCAAAACTAGTAGTTTTACTATAGCAGTGAAGGTCAAATTGACAGTTAAGAGGCTCCAGACAACACTAACTACAGTTTGACAGAACGGAATACACATTCCACATAGTTACAAGTACATGTTACAGAACAGATAACATTTAAAGACAAGTTTAAACTAATAATACATACCGATTACCGACACAGTATACCTTAAACCTGAAACTTGTAGTATGTGCTTTGAAGTGCTGCAAACATTAATCTCGACATTCAGGAAGTATAACGTACCGCTGGCAGGAACTGAGAGATAGTTTATCCGAAATCCTTGGCCTCCTACTGATTCCACAATAAACTCAATGAACGTGGAGTTTCCTGTGGCTACCTGCGTCCGCTCCGCTCCAGTAACCTGTGTCGCATTCATTGTTGGATAAAGCTTCGTTCCAGTATTATCGCATCCTGAAATTATCAGAGTTTCGGGGCATTTTAGACAGCTACAGTCATGCTTTCTTATTGCAGTACTAATGGATCTCTAATTTTGACTGCAGTAAAACGAATATCTTTTTTATTTTAAATCATCAGAAAAAGTTGAGTTCGCATACAGTTTCCGAAATACAGATACTTAGCATACTTCGTTTTTCCCTGATGTGTCTCCAAATAGCCTAACTAGTGCCTTTTGATCCATTCAATATTATTAATAGATCGATATTCACCAAAAATCCTTATACATATGAAAGTTAGAACTATATGACGACAATGTAGCACACACACTTATAGAGATTAGTAAAATCTTTAAGCGAAATTGATAAACGGATTCGAAACCAACTGCAAACCCCTTATTTACCTGACTTTATCACTTACATGCTCAACTTAAATAACGTCTCAACAAACTAATACATCAGGCTCTGTTTGGTGTTACTCTGGCATATGCAAAGACAAATTTCATTTTCAATTCAGTGATCTTTTCGTAATTTTTAGTCAGAAAAGAAATAAACAGATGTGAGAAGTCAACTTTAATATCTCATCAATAAAACAATGTCGGTATTTTGTATTTTATTGATTATAACAGTGTAGTCGTATGAATAGACAGTAGATTGAAAATAAATTAATCTATTTTGGGTATATTGTCTATGGTAAACGTAGGTGTACTTGTTTTCACGAATAATACTGCGACAACTTGGAGATTGTAAGGAAAACATCAAAAGCATTGGTCAATGTTCACTTAATGTGTATTCCCATAGTAACAATGCATTTTAACAAAGATAACTTATTGTATGTACGTTCTATGTGTATGTGGCAGTGTTTTTATTTTATTTATTTATTTATTTATTTCCAATTCAACAGACCCAAGGGTCCACTTACAGAATGGATAACAACATTACAACACAAGTATAAAATATCACAGTCAGTTAGGCATGTAACACAGACTAAAAGATACTCATATGTAAAACAAAAGAAATTAGTGATAGCAAATCTTCTTTAACCGTACTGTTTACTCGAAGAGAGAAGAACGAAACATATCACAGTCTGGTGCAAAATCAAGATAGTTAAAATTACATTGAATCCTGTTTAAAATACTATACTTTCTAACGTTTATTCTACTTCTCTGTCAGTAAAACTGGTTGAAACGAATTGATCGTAGATTACGACCAGGTACTAAAAAACACATTTGCTTGACTAAATATGGACAATCAAAAGCACTATTAACACATTTGTAAAGAAACACAACGTCTAAAAATGCCCGCCTATGTTCGAGGCTAGGAAGATTAAAATGCCTACAAGTGTCAGCGTAAGACATGGAATTGTAGTCGACGTGTGCCTTAAAACATAAAAATTTCAAAAATTTACGCTGGCGAACTTCGACCTGGTGAATTAAATATGTTTGGTAAGGAGACCAGATATGACAACAGTATTCTAACTAGCTCCTAACAAGAGACCTTAAAACAGGTATTTGTGTAAAACTTTTACATGTATGTTTTATAAAACCGAGCATTCGCATTGATTTGGAAACAGTACGTCTAATGTGGGTATCAAAACTCATCGAAGATGTCAGCCAAACACCAAGATCTTTCACACACATTTCATTCTTCATGTTCTCATCATTTATAGTGTAACTGAAATTCATACATTTCTTCTTGTTTGTAAAAATGACCTGGCAGCACTTCTTCACATTCACTTTCATTTTCCACACAGTGCACCAATCTTACACACTAACAAAATTGCTGTCGTCGGCAGACATAAGAGTTGATAAAAACAAGGAAAAGTTTAGGTCCAAGTATCGAACCTTGAGGCACACCGAAAGTTACATCACACCAACCGGATGTTGCCCCATTGACAGTTAGACGCTGGAATCTGTCTTTCAAATAAGTAGTAAACCAATCTAAAATGCTACCTCCTACAACATACAATTTTAACTTATGCAAAAATAATCTGTGGTTTACTTTGTCAAATGCCTTTGAAAAATCAGTGTATACAGCATGAAATTCTACTTTTTTATCAAAGGCTTTGGAAATCTGATCGGTGAAACATGAAAGGTTTGAAACAGTAGACCTTTTTGGCATAAAACCATGTTGCTCATCGCAGATAAGTGTATTTGTAAAATAAGAAAAAATAATGTACGTCAACCAGTTTTTCGAAAACTTTAGATATAATTGGTAGTAAAGATACTGGTCTGTAATTAGAGACTTCATTACGTTTACTAGATTTAGAAATGGAAATAACATTAGCCCTTTTAAAAATACTTGGAAAGATACTATCGTTCAATGAACGGTTGAAAATGTTACACAGTGGTACCATAACTCATCAGCACACTCTTTAAAAACTACGCCAGATATGTTGTCGTAACCACAATTTATTAATTCTTTTTCAATTGTGTATAAAAATATTATCTCGTAACATTGTTTATACTTTTATTTATCAATTTATCTCGGTATATTTATTCCAGCCACCCATGAAAGAATTTACTATAGGATAGCCTGTCCGTTCATCCATTGTACTGCACATATTTGTCAAAGGAAAATTAACCCTTAACATCCCACCAAAATTATCCTGTATTCCTTAAATTAAATTTGTAGTGATAAAATATGTAAGTGGAGATAAATACGGCATAATCGTTTCTCGGTTAATTTCAGTAATATATCGCATGTTTTGATAATAAAAATTCCTGACATTCATCAAGGAATAATTAGTATTTCATTTATTTATTTAAATATGTTTTTAGATTTTGTGTGGACAACACGATACTTAATCGAAAAGGATATTCTTTAAAATGATGTAAATATAATGTAGTTTTAACGTTCAATTCCTGTAATTACACATTCTCACCATCGTATATGTTAAGTTGGGTGCCAATACTTAGTCCATCCATGTGTAAATCGAGCAGAATCCCAGCAGAACCATCCCTAGCCTCAATGTGCCATTCACATTTGTAGTTCCCAGACTGTCGGTTCCTACAAAGTTGTACAAATATATTTAAATGATTCTTAAGCAAATGCTTACAGGGAAATTAACATATAAAAGAAAAAGAATATAAAAACTAACTTTAAAAACGCAACATTCACCATTCACACGGCTAGACACGTTTATTTCAAAAGGATATCGAGATATTAAAATTGCACACCATCATACTTCAATATAGTCATGACGTTTGAATATACATAGGATCAGTGGGCAAAGTAAGTCTCTACTAAAAAGTATACTTGCGCGTGCATGTATTTCTCCAACAAACCTATGCGAGTGCAACACTGTTCCAACAATCCCAATTGTAATGGAATTAACTATGTCGAGTGAGGTTATACGCGCATATATGCATATCGTATCGTTTCAACGTGCACGATATGTAAACTGTCACCTTCATCAGACACAATGTCTGATGAAGGTGACAGTGTTGTCGACACAGACGAGCATTACTTTATCATGTGGTAGAATTATCGACGCATTTTTGGATGCATAATCAAGGACTTGACGCGGTCATAATAGTCTGATCATTCTGTAATTTACCCTCAAGAAAATTGCAAAATAATATTTTATGACTGTTTCCATTTAATTGATTGTATTTGTGTTTGTATTAAAAAGTCTACCAAAATCAACCTTCGGGGAAATGGTTAATTCCCGCATCAAAAAAGATTAAAAAAAATCAACGAGGAGAATATGGCACCTATGGGCCGCCGTACATCAAGAAGAGCTCGCAAAGGGAGATAATTCTAGTGATCCTGCTAGTGCCTTGGAAAATATTCAGAAACAAAACAACGATAACGGAGCCGTATTATTTCATGGTAAGTTGACAATGCACATTTATTTTAAAATGTAATTTATAATGATGAAAATAATAGCAGTTGACTTCCAATATACGTTTAGCATGCCCATCAACCATACATTGTGTAGCGGCGTCTGCTATGTAAATAGGCCGCACCAGCAGAGAACATGTTTGTTAAACACGACCGATAACCATATTTCTGTCTTTTTTAAATTCATCCAACATTGTTACAATTATTAGAAACATAATCATGTGAAAAATTATATCGAAAAGTGGAAAATTAGTAAAAACCTTGGACCCTCCTTGATAAAATAAAAAAATGTATGGAAGCCCATGAGTGCAATTCAATAAATTCATTACGCTTTACAGACAATTATGACAATATTAATATCGAAACAAGTTACCTATTTCTTAAACACTCGATATTGACATTTCTCGTCTTGAATGCATTAGTTTTACTGTTTAAAGTCACAGAATTAACTCTTTTAACCGGCTTGTAACTTTTTTTTGTCTGGGAAATTGGTGAAAAACGGAACCAGGAAAATTCAGCAAATGCAGATGTAATTACTTGAAATATACAGGAATTTAAACAACTTAACTTTCTTTTGGCACGATGATGTAAGACATTTTTCTTCTTACGGCTATACCATTAGATATGGAGGAGTGTGTCCTGTGTCATCAATCTCTCCAGAACGGAAGGGATACTGTGACCTTACGCCAAAAAGGTAGTATAGGTATCAACGAAGCCAGCAAGGTACTTGGCGACTCCATACTTACTGTCCCAGGTCAAAAAGTACAATAAGATTGTCGCAAGTCATATGTTAATCCAAAGTCTATGCACCTAAACCAAAAGAAATCTCAGGATAAAGATACGGATTCCTTATTAGCATCAAAAAGCAGTCTGCGTTCGAGTTCCCTTTTTCATTTTCAACAACACCGTCTTTTCTGTGGTCAATCTGCACGATTGTCTGGAAACAAAATAGGCCCTGACGTATTTCCAGTTCGAACTTCAGATTATGATTGCACATTTTGGATATTTGCACAGACCGCAATGATGATTGGGCTGCTGAGGTGAAGGGAAGGATAGAATATGCAGCTGATCTTTATGCTGCTGATGCATTGTATCATCAAAGTTGTAGTGTTAACTTCCGAACGTTCAGACAGGTATCCCAATAATTTTCCACACAAACAAAGAAGCAGATGACACCAGTTGGTAGACCATCAGCAAAAAGAGAAAGTTTTATATATGCAACAGACTATTTGGTACAGCATGACAATGAACAAATTACCATCATCGATCTGGTAAAGAAAATGGCAGAACATTGTGGTGAAGAAAATGCATATAGTGTGTCACATATGAAGGTTAAATTATAAGAACATTTTGGACCTCGGATTGTGATATCTGAAATTAATGGAAAATCAAACGTTGTGACTCTCCAATACACTGCTAGGTCTATTTTCCAGGATTATTATGAGAATCAGACAAAGAGTAACACTGAATCGGAGACAAAATTCATCATGACAGCAGCCAAACCTCTTAAAAAAAAATTGTCTTCTTTGGACAAAAATATCGCCTCGATTCCAGAATCTCTTCAACTTCTGCTTAGGACATTGTTTTCAAAAGACTCTGAACTACTTGGAAGGAAAACGAGCGGATGGCAACCGCCTATCGTTCATTCATACCTCGAGGGTAGCGGGTTTGTAGATTGGTGATCCAAAACCGCTCTCTCGTACGTTGTCTCGTTTCATCCCATGTAGGGCAATGATCTATGGCAACCACCTGCATGTCTTTCCATTTGTGGCTAGGCATATTAAAATGCATTGCCACAGGGAAGTCTGGTTTGTTCTGCTTGATGGAGCAGCGGTGGTTGTTGATTCTGATATTGAGCTGGGTGCAGGTCTCGCCCACGTACTGTAAATTGCATTTGTTTTTGGGGTCTGACTTTGTATACAAGCAGACTTGCCCTGTCCAGTACCCTCACTTTGTCTATTTCCCGATCTATCAAAGTAGATTTGTATCATCTGCTAAGAAGGTGGGACATTAACTCTGAACATCTACGTTCGAAGATGATGTCATCCGAAATAATACGCCTGATGCGCAGAGCTTGGGAGTAGGGTATGCTTCTCGTGGTGTGCGAGGGGTGACAACTGGATGGGTGGAGATACTGGTGTGTGTCAGTAGGTTTACAGTGGAGGTCCGTACTAATCTTACCATCAATCAGAGTATATATATACAAAAGAAGACTTTTCGTTGCACTGTCGATATACCATTTTTGCGTATATTTCTGTTTAAGTAATACTTACAAATTGAATATTTTTTTGTTTGAGTATAATTCACATATTGGATCATGCTGTCGTTATTATGTATGAGGTCTGTATACCGTTTCCAGGCTGTATACAGTATAATAAGTGTCATTCAGTCTCAACTTACCATGTGTAATGGTTGGGATAACCTTCCGAGGAGATACTTTGCACATTAACGTCGGCTTCAAGCATCGTTGAAGTATTTGTATGACATGGTTTTTCTAGAACAATGCTAAATACAAATCCACGACGAAGTGTATCATCAGGAGAAGTGAAGCTAACGTTGAAATTGGTATCTCTAAAGGTCATGAGTGGATGGGAAAAGTCTTCTCCACAAATTTTTGTGGCTTTAGTTGTTGAACCTAGAAAAAATATATAAAACAGACTGTTTACAAGTTACACTTTTGATGTTGCTCTCAAAGTTAGTAGGATATAAACAGGTTAAACAAAGACATTTGCCTGATTGACTTAATACTAAAGTATTGTCATCATCACGTGAATGCCAGTCACTGCCATCACTCAGTCGAGTAATTTAAATATAACAGACGATATAACCCATGTACATCTCTTCAAAATCTACATTGAACCTGTCTCTAGTTTTGTCTCCACGGGAGGGGGATATATGGGTCTTTGCTATGGTTATGACATTTCCTTAACGTAGATATAATTAATATTTTTTATTTCAATCATAGCATATTGATTTTCTATCACTATGTAACGAGTCTTGTCATTTATACAACCCGTTCGTTGAATGATATTTTTGTATTTTTTTCTTTTATCATTTCTACTACTGTAAATCAGCCAGGTAATAGGTTGAACTCGTGTTTTGTATCTACTTTTCTATGTATTACTTTCCACACATTTTCCCCAAACTCTACTAACTATATATATTCCCTTGATTTACTCTGCAGCCAAAGTTTTGACTTCAAATTCGATCAGCAGCTATTCTCGTCCGTTAGAACATTTCAGAATTTGTTTTTTCTGAACTGATTGACTGTTTATAATTCAAAAGAGTATATCATTGCTATTCTTGCATTTCTTTTATAATGGAGACCTTAATAAAGGTCCATAGGAGACCTAATTAATTTGTCGTTACATCCGCTATGGAATCTATGTGTAAAACATCCGTCTTATATTTAGAAACTAGCAGAAATGATAATGTTTAGTATTTTCGTATGTAAATGATATAGTTACATGTCAATTGTGTGGGCAGCAAGAAAGCAATATCATTGCTCATTTGTTTTATAAAGTGTAGCAAATTATACGAGACGAGATATTCTATATTTGACAAAGTGTTAAATATAATAGGTACAACGAACTATATGACGTTTTCTGAACTGGAAGACACTGCATGGAAAATATAATACTAGGCTATCGGAGTCGTATCGAAATAGAGGAGGATGCATGGGATCACTTTGTGCTTAAAAACAAAAGATTAGTTGAAAGACTATGTGATTTAACTGTTTGGCCGAATGTCTGAAGTAATAATTACAACATATCTGACAACGTAACTACTATTAACGATAACTCTTAAAGTGAGATATCTCTAAATGTTTGAATGTATGCATATATGTTTTTATTTTTGATCTCGTCATTTGGAATGTTATAGAACCTTTTTATACTGAACAGATGACCTGTTAATAACTCAAAAGATTATATCATTGTTAAGACGTTGTAATGTTTGCCCCATCCTGAAGACAATCGTTACAATCTGACCAGGAATCGACTGTGTCTCCTAAGAGACAGCGTCCCGATCAAATTAACGAGGAACAATTTTTTATTTTGATATTTTACTGATGCTTGCTTTCAATTCGAAATACAAAAATGTATATGTTTTTCCAAGTTGACAAGAAAGCGTATTGAAGTTAAAGTACAATTAAGCAAACCTAATATCATATATTGAAGCTACAGTCAAACCCTCCATTGCATTCATGCTTTCTATTGTTTGGAAACAAAACCGAAAATGTGGCATTGAGATTTACCACAAATGAGTAACAGTATTACCTTCAATACGTAAGTAGTCTTCGCAGCCACCATCTTCCTCTATATCGTAGAACTCAACAGTCAAAACAACGGTTTTTCCGGAGTTTCCAGCAGAGATCTGCCACAGACATTGATCGTTTCTGCCGAAAAAAAGGTGATACTTGGTTTTTTTAAACATTCGCACGACATCAAATTATGTTAGGTCATCTAGAAACTGTACGCAATATTATAGCGTGTTATATATCAAATTCAATAGTTGAAAATATTTACATTTTTTAAACGTACAAAACCATGAAACAAAGTGAGCAGACACAAAAATGGTGAGAACATAGGCAACATACCCCCATACTATATATGCAAATAAACAAATAACCTTCGTATGCATAGATACTCATGGTACAGATTAAAACATATATCCTTGTATATAAACCATACTTTGTATTCGTGTAAATCAACAGCAAACGTCATAAAATCTGTAATTTACACGGATGTAAACATAAAGCGACAGTAATACATCACCTGAACTAGTGGATGAAACCTATCACTTATATTTTATATAGATGTATATATATACATGTATACATGCCAGCCATACTAGTGGATGTAATCTAAAGTGACTTACAAATGTCACTTTTATTTTATTTAGATATAGATATAATTATAAAGACGTTCAAACCAGCCTCACAATTGGATGTAATATATAGTGACTTACATATGTCACTTATATTTTATATATGTATATATATAGAAACATACACACCAGCCAAACTAGTGGATGTAACCTATACACTTACATATGTCCACTACACTTTATATAGATATAAAGAGAGACGTACGCACCAGCCAAACTAGTGGATGTAATCTATACACTTATATATGTCACCTATACTGTATATAAACATAGATATAAAGAGAGGCGTTCAATCCAGCTACCTAGTTGATTTATTCTATAGTGACTTAAATATGTCACTAATACTTGATCAATTCAAATCGTCTGAAGAACCCTAAGATGGGCGAACGTGCTAGCGAATTGTTATCTTCGTGTTTTGTTCTATGTAGATATAGATATAAGGAGACGTATATACCAGCTACACTACTGAATTTAATATAAAGTGACTTATATATGTGACTTATATTTTATATAGATATAGATATACAGAGACGTACATACCAGTTACACTAGTGGATGTAATCTATAGTGACTTACATATGTCACATAAACTTTATATATATAGAGAGAGAAACGTGCATACCAGTTAAAGTAATGGATTGAATATATAGTGGCGTTTATGTGTCACATAAACTTTATATAGATATAGAGACGTCCATACCAGTTACAGTAATGGATTGAAGAAACTGTATTTATATAGAGAAACGCACATACCAGTTACTCCAGTGGATGTAATCTATCGTGACGTATATATGTCACTTATACTTTA